AATAGATTTTACATATTAACTTCTTCACAGTGTAACGCAAATGAGGTTTTCGTCTACAAAAAAAAAATTTGTTAGATTTTATAATTTTAGTACCAAGGTTTTTGAGGTCGCTGAAATCGAATATGATATTAAAATTCCAAAATTCAAAATGTCAGATCCAATGGAACAAAATTGAAAAATTAGATTTTTATAAAAATAATTATACTAACAAGAGTCCGAAACCGATTTGATTCTCCTTGAAATAGATTATTAAACACAAAAATTTAAGAGACACATATTTCTTTATATGTGCCTAATCGAAGTTTTAAGAGATGAAACAACCTCTGAAAAGCTAACTTATATTTTTGGTTTCCATCAATTATCAACAAAACGGTGAGATATATAAAAAAATGTTTTAGATAAAACTTTTATTATTTCTTATGTACTTTATAACTTTGTATTTAGACTTTTTAAAAATTTAATATTTTTTAAACTATTTCCACTCCCCATTATTATTTTTAATATAATAATTTAAATTTTTTCTAAGAATAAAAATTGAAGGAGCTTTTATGCCAAATTCAACCGTATATAATAAAATTATTTTACAAAATCGCATTTTTCAGAAATAACTTGAAAACATCGCTATATGTATCGTTTGTACTTTTATATAGCGCTTGCGTGGCAAAATTGTGTTTCTGCTTTATGTATTACAATAATAACAATAATAATTTTCATTGCTTTTCTTTAATTATACATATAAAAACATTTACTTCTTTCATTCGTTCTTCATATATTTCATTACCTTTATATCATTACAGTACCTTAAGTTTAAAATTATTTTTATTTGCTTACAAATGCTTTTGCTTTTCTGCATTATGTATTACAATAGTGATAATAATTTTTATTCGTTTTATTTAATTACATATATAACATATAATATAATTACACATATAAAAACCACTTCTTTATTTATAAGATCCATTTCTTCATTTATTTCTGATACGTTATATTGCTAGTATCTTAAGATTAAAATTATTTTTGTTTGCTTACGCTTTTATTTCTTTATATATTATATATTTCTTAATATATTAACTTAATAACATAGTCATTTACTCATATATAATAAAATTCATATATTATATTATTATATTATTATTATATTATTTGTATCATTCATTATAGATATTACAATAATAATGATACCACAAAAAAATGCTTTAAACATAATGATCTTTTACATCAAGAACATCTTACTACAGATATATTGTTGCAATTTTCGATATCACATGTTGTCAAAATTTCTTCAAAACTAAATTTTACTGCATTTTTAAATTCTTCCAATCTTTCATTTATATATCCACTTTTAAACCACAAATATTTAAATAAATTGTGATATCAAAGAGATGATAACTGATTATGTCTCAAAGATTGTAATTTTATTATATTATTTCGTTAATGTAAATTTACATCACTTTCCAATAATAAAACGGTCAGAAAATTTTTCCAAATCTGGAATCCATAAACGTCTAATGATTTTCCCTGTAATATCTTTTGGAATTATCATTATATTAATGCGTTTTTCTGCTAATATTAAATCAGAAACAATATCAGGACAATGTCCATTCCAAGAATCAATAAGAAAAACACTATCAGTACTAACATTTGGAAAGCTTCTTGTAATCAAGATTTAAAATGATCTATACGAAACAATAATTTAAATTAATAATATTAAACTTTATTAGATTTCTAAAATAATTATAAAAGATATATAAATAAAGACAATTGAAATTTGTGTATACCTGTCATTTTACCAGATTTTGCTTTCACAATAATATTTATTGGTCTGAACAAATTTTCTTCCACTCTTGGCCCAAACATACCATTAGTTTCTTGTAATATAATAAATAAAAGGGATAGCAATCTACCATTACACGATATTATTGGTTGTATCATATATGAATAAGTTGTCGATGATATAAATTGTATAACACGCTCTACTATCTTTATTCCTTGATCAGATAGTGATCTTCCAGAATAGATTTCTAATTGAAATCCACTTTGATCTGAATTATAAATATTTTCAGATCTGAACTGTTCAATGAGAGGTTTCACTGTTTTTAAAAAATCTTTGGTTGTTTTTTTGCAGATCAATTGAATTTTCTAGTGTTTTTCTAGTAAAAACTTTGTAATTTTTCTTGGAACAATTCGATGGGACTTTTTGAATCTTGCTATCCAATTATCAGATGCTTTGAACATAGAATTTAAATTTCCTATTTTTTGTTGAGCCTGTAGAGCTCACTTTTTTAAATCAATATCATGGAATTATATGGTCTGATTAAACAGCTGCGATAAATTATGTGTAAATTGAAATTTATTATGTGTAAATTGTAGGATAATTTTTCATGTGATTATAATTATTCTTTCCATCGTCTCAATTGACATTCGGATGACACTCTTCATAAATTTATGCTGTATTTTTGCTTCAATTATTGGCGTTTCCATAAAATATATCGAACTTATGGAGGCCAATAAAAGTCTGACATTAATTGGATTAAAAATCATTATTAATTTGTTCTTCTATATAGAAATATACGTTAAAGCACTTTAACATACTATAACAAAGTGACCTTACTGACTATAACTGCAAATCTGTTAGTATTTATACATTGGATTTATTGATACCTCTTTAAGAATGCACTTAAGCTTAAAAAGTGTCAGTTTGAAAGACGTTCCAATACGAAAGATAAACAATAACATATTTTATGATAATTTTATAATGATGATACGATTAATGAAATTATTATTACTGTTTATATCACAAATACGTATTTTAAGAGTAATATTATTACTTAATTTTCATATTTTTTGACGTGACTTTTCTCAAAACAATAGAAGTATTCTTTAGAATGGCTAAATAATATATAATAACATAATTATTTTAATATTTATAAAAAATATATAAATATATAAAATATATATAAATGTATAAAAAACAATAAAAAATTGATAAATTTGTGTTACAAAATGCATCTTAAACATCAAAAAATGATTATGCTATGAAGTTTAGGAATTAGTGTATATAAACAAGAGTCTATTTATTCGCGTAAACGAATAAAAATAATTTTAAATTTAAGGTACTATAATGATAAAATATATGAAGAATGAATGAAAGAAGTGAATGTTTTTATATGTATAATTAAAGAAAAACAATGAAAATTATTATTATTATTATTATTATTATTATTATTATTATTATTTATAATACATAAAGCAGAAACATAATTTTGCCACACAAGTGCTACGTAAAAGCACAACGATGCATATAGCGACGTTTTCAGGTTATTTCTGAAAAATGCGATTTTGTAAAATAATTTTATTATATACGGTTGAATTTGGCATAAAATTCTCTTTAATTTTTATTATATTAAGAAAAATTTAAATTACGTAAAAATAATAATGGAAGTGGGTGTAGTTTCAAAAATATTAAATTTTTAAAAAATCTAAATACACAGTTATAAAGTACATAAGAAATAATAAAAGTTTTATCTAAAACATTTTTTATATATCTCACTGTTTTGTTGATAATTGATGGAAATAAAAAATATAAGTTAGCCTTTGAGAGGTTGTTTCATCCCTTAAAATTTCGATTGGATACATAAAAAAAATACGTGTCTCTTAGATTTTTGTATTTAATAACATATTTCAAGGAGAATCAAATCGGTTCCGGACAGTGTGACAGGTCTCTTGTAAGATTTTTAGGTCGTTAAATCCAAATGTATTAGTATTTCTAAATTCAAAATGGCGGATTCAATTTTTTTTATTTTTCCAAATTTTGTTCCCATATTGGATCCGCTATTTTGAATTTTAAAATTTAAATATCATAATTAGATTCAGCGACCTCTAAAACTATGGAATACCAAGTTTCATACAAATCGCAAAAAGGTAAATTGATTTTTTTTTAGGTGTACATATATGCTACATACACACTGGTGGCATGTCTTTTTTCTGTGCATATATATTACATATACTGTGAAGAGGTTAAGAAATCCTTTATAAGATTTTATACATGTACGCGCGCGCGCGTGCACGTAAAGCATTACAAGTTAATAACTTTAAAAATATTTGTCACACTAAAAAATTATTTCTATTATAAAAAGGTTTCAGTGTTCGAGGAGCTTTTCTATGTAAACAAAAATTCGTTCCGTCTCTCCCTTAAAGGAAGGGGAGTAATTTCATAACTTCAAACGAAACCTTCTATAAATTACATTACATATTTGAATTTTACAGGAACAAACAAACAGTAAACATTTCTGAAACATTTCTTTGAAAAATACACTGTTCAAAGTAATTCACTCGTTCACTTGACCCCGTTTGGATTGCATTGTATGGAGATATATCAAAGAGAAAGTCATGGCTCAACTATCTACGATGAAAAAAGATTTAAAACGAAGAATACGTTTAGGCTGTGCTAACGTGACCCCAGAAATATTGTCTAGAGTTGTCTAGACAAAATTTTATGGAAAGAATTATTAAATATTTAATTGTGAATGGTCAACAGTTTGAACATTTAATAAAGTAAAAAACAGAAAACCTAAATCTTATAAAATCTTTTATTTAATTAATGGTCTTAGCATTAGTTTAAATATTCTCTATTTCAGAAAGTTTCAATGTTTGTAATCTTTGATAAAAACATTTTTCAAAGAAACTTTTTCATTTTTGTTTGAAAGATAAAATTTACTTGTTTTTTCCTGTAGAATCTAAATATCAATTTATAGGAGGTTCAATTTATAAAAGATTCCATTTGAAGTTATAAAGTTACTGACTGCTCCCTTTCAAGGGGAGACAGAGCGAATTTTTGTTTACATAGTTAGAAAGGCTCTTTGAGCCACATGAGCCACATGAAACTTTCTCATGAACAATTTTGCGATGAATATTTTTAGAGTTATTAACTTGTAATACTTTATGTAGGCCATCCTATATATGTTTCTAACATATAAACATATATATAAAAGAGACTGTACCTTGTGCTCCAAGCATAGTGGCTTTTACTGTAGATAGTATCTTCAATTGTGTTCCAATAGTAGGGATACGTTCGCAAACTTGAAGAAGATTCTAAAAATCATTATTAATATAAAATTATACATAGAAATTATATTTAATTGTAATAAATAAACTCTTAATAAACTATTGACATATATAAGATACAAATTATGCAAATATTGTAGTATGTACATATTTATTATGTATTATTATCTTAATAAATTGTATTAATTTAAGGAGATATGCGATAAAGAGATATTCCAATCGCTTGCGAAAATAAGAGACAAGAAATTAGTAATATTCTATTCTTATGCATTAATAATATCAACTATGAAAATCTTTTACTAATAAGAAAGGTTATTTTATGATTTTTTAATAAAATTGTAACGAGGCGCCCTTCTGCTTCGATAAAATTATAATTCTCTTGACCAAACATCCACCGGTCACCGGGCGGAGTGCGACTCGCTGTCGCAAATTCGCGCTTGCGCCAAATTTTAATCTTTCCATACAAAAGATTCTACGAGATACTTCGGTGTACATATTCGGCGAACACGCGATTGTTTTCGCGGAACGCGCTCCCCGTACCGCGCCGAATACAGCGCCACCGAATAGATATATCATCTGCACCGAGTACTTCATCAACAATTTCTATTTCTATCACTCGACTTTCCTTACCATCCTGAGGAAGACCTCTCCCCCTTTGGCTAATCCGAATCTGATCCGAATCCGAAATACCGCGGTCGATCTCGGATAAAAGAAGCTTGCTCTCCACAGAAATCACCTGTTCCATTCTCGAGCGCAGCGTCGCACACGAGAAACCGAGAGATTCCGAATCCTAATTCCCAGAAGATAGTCTGAAAGTACTGAGATACGTCTCAGCACGGCCGAGTGCGCTCGATGAAGACATATCTCTCCTCCCGAAGGAATCTATCGAAGCACTGAGGTACTCCCCAGCACCTGGCTGAGTACTATTGAAACCTCCGCTCCGATCTTCAATCTCTGATCATCACCGAAGTGCGCCTCCACACGGCCGAGATCGCTCGGCCTCAGAATTCGTAAATCCCGACTTTCACGTCAGAGCTCACCTTGACAAACATCGAACACAGGAGTCTCCCTGGTGGCGTCGAGTGCTCTCGATAATTATCTCCGAGCATTAGGGTACTCATGGGATCGCCCGACAAAATACCCCACAGCGGTCAACGGGATAGCAAGAATCGGAGACTCCTGATATCCAGCTGACGAAGTGACAGCATCCCCAAGACATACATCATCGACGGTCGAAATCAGCTGTCTGTTGACAACTCGCCGTAAACATAAATATCACGCACGCCTCGCGTCTTCGCGGAAAACAGTTGATCGTGACGGCCCGCGAAAATCACGTAAACACTGTGCGCGTACCCCGCACACCCCACGCCATCGAACTCGCGCATTTAAAACTCTGCCAGCTGAGCGGCCAAATAATACGAACATAACAGCGCATATATAACTCAAGCGATCTATTGAACGGATTATATTGTTAAATACCACACAAAACATATCACAGAATTATTTATAATATTTCTTTTAATAAATAGTTCAATCAAAGATCTCTGTCATTTCTCACTTCCTCACCTGATTATCTGACTAACTGACTATCTGTGTGGAGAAGTGATTGTTTTAAAATAAAAAGATAACAATTAGCGTTAATTTTTAATTTTGGGATCATGATATTAACATTCTATTATTAAAAAATATAAGTAAATGTTAATGTATAAATAAATAAATGTTCCATGTTTAATAATTATTGATCACTTGATAATTTGATTACATTCTGAAAATGAGATTAACATTCCTGATGACAAGTTATATGCTGTAAATATCATAAAATAGCATATCATAAAATAGCATAAATGCATAAAATAGCTGTTTACACATCAAATAGGCATTTTTATTAATTTTTTGCTTGTATAAAAAAAATATATAATGACAGAAATTACTTTTCTACAAAAATATAAAAAAAAAAGTTTGTTTTAAATATTCCAAAAGCCAAGCTTGCAGAAACAGATTTTGAGCAGAATATGTTATCAACTTCTGATGGCAGAAAGGTAGCAAATTTCAAATAGAATCTGATGATATCAACAAACTATTGTCAGAAATATGACAAAGCTTGCTAATATATTATGCTCGTAGATTGGCGACGAAGTAGAATCTGACATAATATGACGACAAATTGGCAGGTAGAAATCGAGCAAGCTCTACATATACGACTTCTGCCACCAGTCTGTTAATATTTCTCCTCTCAAGTTTGTCAGTCTGCCAACATTTTACTAACACTTTGCTGATTGAGTATTTATACAAAATGTCTGTTATTGTGACATTCGTTAATGATAGATTCTTTAGATTATTTTAGAGATTCATATCCTATACATTTTCCGTACTTGCAGATATTAGTAAATGTTTGCCGAAAAACTGCCAATAGGAAACATACTTCGTTAGTATTGTCAATGCTATTAGCACACTTTTAATAAATATGCAACAATCTTTATTGGTAGAATATATGATAGAATGACATTTAACAATGACAGATATGCTGAATTGATGGCAGATTGACAATAGCTCCAAACAATTTTGCTATTACAAACAGTGTCATCAAACATCTCGCAAAGATGCACCCAGGTAATCAAATCGAAAGCAGATCTAGTAATCTATTATCAATTATTGTCAATGAAAAGTTATAAATTTGGAAGATTATTAAAAATTAAGTCGACTGATGCCAAACTGAGCAGAACTTGTGTAGAATCTAATAAATAAAAAAAAATCTAATAAATTGATAGAAAGCGAATCAAATCTGTTAACATGATTTGACATCAAATTGTCATAAGAAACCAAATGAGATCTGCGTGTGCAATCTTACAGCAGATTGGTAACAGAAATCAAACAGAATTTACAGTTTGATAATAAATTGACAGCAGAAACTAAGTAAACTCTGAGTACTCACTAAACATAAATATAATTCCAAGACTGTCGCTAGATTGCGCTCATTTTTTAAACATAAAATTTGTTAGATTCTTTAATATAATTAAAATATTAATTGTAACTATGCTAACCAAAATATAATAGATATGTCATTTATCTTTTATATATGCATTTATATACAAGATAATTGTATCTTTGAATGCATTCTATTTCTCGCTTGATGTGCATTCTGTATCATTTATCCTTATTTTTCATTATATGTAAACAAGAATAAACGATGCATTTATGTATATCATACAAGAAATGGAACGTAACAAAAAAATTAATAAGTAATAAAAATTAACAAGCGGGATGTTATAACAAGCGGTATATATTTTTAAAAAATTCATAATTTACTTATGTTGTAAAGAATACATTAATCCGTTAATAAAACAATTCAAAATTCTATTAAAATAAAAATAAAAAAATAACAAAGATATTATTTTTCAAGATTGATATTAATAATATTACAATTTAAAAAGTCTGGTTACAAAAAGTCTGCTCGATTTCTGCTGCCTACTTATCATCTAATTATATCGCGGATAGATTTTACTCAATTTCTGTTATTTATTTTCTATCAATTACGTTGTGCAGATTTTACTCAATTTTACAGTTAATCAATAGATTATATTAGCAAACTTTGCTCGAGTTTTGATAATCTACTGTCATATCATATTAGCAGATTCTGTATACGTAATTTGAAATGTAAGATTAATAAGGACACAATAGATCCTGATTTTGACATTATTTTGCGAGCATTTGTATTTGTAACATTTCACGAACAAAATGTTTGCTGGATAATTGATTTTAGTTAAAACGGTCTCGCGCAGACAGCGGTCAGTCGGTTGCTAGGTGTGGAAGCGAGGACATTGGAGACAGAGTTGATATCGTACGCGTATCACTTCGACGGTCGACGCGATACTGTTTCCGTTGCGCGTAACTCGATGATACAAGACGCGCGACGGTAGCGCATGTATTTTCGCGAATTATCAACGCGGACCTTTAAATCGCGCTTATAAAATTACAATTGCAGGCAGCGTGTTAAAGGAGGGTGGAGTATCGCGATAAAGATTTGCGACCATTAAGTCGCGGAGAACGAGCGAATCCGATCTCACTGTTCGCAATTCACTGTCGTTGGAGTAGCGAGGCGGCAGATTGCGGCGAGCGTACTCGGCCGACTGGGGCGTATCCCAGTACTCGGAATCGGATAGATGTGCTGTCGGAAAAAGTTCCGACACTCAACAGCGGAATTCGATAGCGGCGGAGCCGGATCGAGCAAACTCGATGCGCTGGAGAGTCCCCAGTATTTTTCGGCTGCCGTGGAAGGGCTCGGAGACGGTTCGACCTGGCCAAGTATACTTGGCGCGTTGGGAAGAGTCCCAATAAGTTTCAAGCTTTCACTGGAATCGGGTTCGGATACTCCCTTCTATCGAGACGTGCTTTCAAGAGTCGAGCGCGGAGCGGAATGATTTTCTATGGAGAGCGATGCCTTTTTATACCCGAGATCGACCTCGGTATTTTTCAGTTGAATCGGTTGGATTAGTCGAGGGTAGCTCGAATCTCCCTCCACAAGAGCGGAAAAAAGAAAATTGTCTAATTGGTTTTTTGGAAAAATAAGAGTTTGGAGCGGGGATGACTAGAAGTGGGAAAGAAGTTCGGTGGTAATGGTGCGGAGCGAGGATAGTTTCGTCGCTTGTAAACGCAGTCGTGGCGCGATGTAGGGCGCTCGCTCGCGTTCATGGTGCGGTGTCGGTGCGGCGCAAGAGGAGCATTTACACTCGATGGTGCGGCGCGTGGTGCGATGCGGAGCGCGTTAGCGCTCGGTGAACTATGAGTGTTATCTAGCAATGCACTTCTCGCATTCACTAATCGACATATTCTATTATCTAGGATATGTCGATTAGTGAATGCAAGAAGTGCATTTCTTATTTGAAACATCAAAGTCGCAAGGCAAATAGATATTAAATGTGGACATAAAAGTGCTGACATGTGAAAGTGGATCGCAGGTGATATTGATATTAACAGTGTCGTTAATTATCGATATGGACGATGAATATGCAGAATACATGCTCGGCATG